TCCGCGAGCTTTGGGAATTGGGTATGTTAGTTGCACCTGACACCTATTTGCAAAGTAAGGGGGAGAAGTAACTTTAAGACGACCAATCAATTAAAATGAGATGTGTGAACAAATCAGTCGCTATCACAGTTAACAGCATCCATTTTCTTTGGATTTGAGTGAAGACATTTGCTGTCCTTTGGCTGTTATTCGAAATGCTGGCTTATTTCACTTACGTAGAATTATGTCCAATGCAACTCGCACATATTGCACACACAACTTTAAATAGCTAATGCTGATAATGTGTGTCATCGAAATGGAAGGCGTGAACGTGAGTAGTCTTGTAGCTCACATTTCATGTCTTTATTAGTCTCATTTGGTTAGCGATAATGAAACTACCAAAACTATTGGATAAAATGCCTTTATGCCTTGCGCTGGTTGGTTGCGCCATAAAACGACTTAGCCAATAGCACTGGTAAGAAGGTCTACAATTTTGTGATCAGGGTGTGCATATGTACGTTGGCACTCGGCTGTGGCTCATCGATGGAGGGTCTTGTTTGCGGGGTATGCGAGAAATTGTGAGTTACTTACGTACAAGCAACAATTTATCGTAATGGCATTGTGATGCAATGGGTTTGGAAATAGCATATTCTTACCGTACGTTTAACATCTCCCAATTATATTTAGCAAGTTAATCAGTTCTGGGACTTTGCACTGAGGTGTTATCTAAATGGAAATGTAATTATCACATCTCATTGTGTGTTTGAGAGCTCGCATTAGATAGATGGATGAGAATGAGGCCAGGAAGGCATTAGCAGTGGATAAGGCCGCTGAGAATGGACTAATTCGTCTGCACGTCTTCTTCAACTTTGTGGTGTTCTATGCATTCTCTTAAAAGAATATTTCTCTTATAGCGGTGCCTGCAATAGTAGATCGCAAAAGTCATCATATGGAATGCTTAAGTGTCTATGCGTCTGTGTTTTTAACCTTATTTCAGAACCATGTTGTCATGCCTTTCCCTCACCAGTAATCTTTGCATCTTCCATTGTGTCGAGAAGGTTAAGCAATCCCTACACTCTGCCGTGCGGGCACACTTTCTGCTTGAGGCCCTGCCTATTGTCAAATACCAATGCCACGAAGTCGTATTGTACCCACTGCCGTGCAACATATGATGTGGCTGAACTACGCCCTAATTACGCTGTTTTGCTCCAGCTTAATCAGTTGTCTCGCCAACAGCAGCAGCAACAACAACAACAGCAGGTTCGTAACCAGATCCAGGCGGAGGACCAAAATCGAGACAGCGGACAAGACCAAGTAGAGGGACATCAGGTAGGAATTGGAAACGGTGTGCCATCTTTCCATTTTTTCCATGAGGTGTTTTATTCTGCCCGAAGGAGTCTTATTTGTTGTGCGTTTTGTAAGCATCTGCTGTAGTTTTACAATGGCTTATTTTAGCGTACGCTACAGGCATCAGCCTTATGTGGGTTTAATGAAGGTTTCATGCCTGACTATTTGCTATTTACAGACATAGATGCTTAGCTAACTGGTTGACTGCAAGGGTGGGAAAGGATCCGTTGTTATCTTATGCACTTTTTCAGATGTTTATTGTTTGTATAATCGTTTTATCATTTTGCTCTATTCAGACAAGCTTAATTGAGAAAATGTTAGCGCTTGGTGTAAAAGATGAAGGGGAGAATTTTCGTAAAATCAGGTAAATTTGGTGTTATTGTGTCTTTAGCTTGACATAAGCGGCCCTAGCTTACTTTTTCCGTTTTAGTTGTCAAGAAGAAGACAGGAGTGTAATTAATGATGCTTCCACGTCAAAACTGATATTCATCAGCGGTATCACCCCGAAAATAACGCGTAAAAACTTAAAGGAGTACTTTTCGCGCTACGGAACTGTAAAAAACGCATTTATTTCACCCCACAAACAATTCGGCTCTGTTACGTTTGAAAGTGAGGCGTCTGTGCGCAAAGCTCTCTCTGAGCCCATACAGTTTATCTGTGGTAACAGGGTTGGAGTGAAAGAGTACATCAACAAGAAGAGGTATGACTTCTGTTACGTTGTTTTCTGGAAATATTGCCTGCGAGGGATGTTCTAATTCGTCTGTGTAACATTAGTGATGCATGGGTTTTACAAAGGAATGGGGGTTCTTTTATTTGGCAATTACTTAACTACCTCCGGGGCCTAATCCAATTCTTTTTAATCCCTTTCAGACTGTTTGGGTTCCTTTCTTTCAGAAGAGCTAGAAAGTCACAGGCGGTGGTAGAATACTGTAGATCACAAGGGAAATTAATCGAATTCGATTAGACCGCTGAGATGTTAAAGCTGACCAATTATGCATTTGCCGCGCATCATAAAATGTGGTTGAAATGCGACTAGTTCTCTATCACTTTCCAGACAGGGTAGTTGCGAATCGCAATCGCAGGGCGGGACGACGCCTGTGCCGGACTTGGACTTTTCTTCGGGAATCCCGTTTGTGTCTTCAACAGTAACTGCACCAATTTCTGAACCATCTCCAGAGGAGCGACAGAAAATTTTCGTTGGTGGTATTTCGCATGCCACAACAGTAGATTCTTTAAAGGCAGCGTTATCAAAACTGGGTCCTATTAAGAAGGTCGATGTTAATGCCGAAAGGGGCTTTGCAATAGTCGTGTTTGATCGACTCGAGACGGCTGAATTAGCCACTTCTGTTCACTGGCACATGGTCGATGATGCTCTGGTGGAAATGCAACCCTTTATCCCCAATAAGACTACTAAAAAGTCTGCAGACTATGGGAAAAAACTGTGAGTAATGTGCTGTGCGTTCACGTTTTGTCACCATCATATACTTGTAATGAATAGAATAGTTTGCTGTTGTTATAACTGAAAATATTTGTCTCCATACGTAGATCTCACGAACCTCCTCAAAAGTCATTCGAGGTAGACTCACTTTTTTATTCTCCTCTCGAGAGTTAGATAGGAAGTTTAGGTGTTCTATTCTCCAGTCAGTGAACACTACTGTCAAATTGAATGTCTTCTCCATTCTGTTTCATGACCTTCAAGGGACGTTCACTTTTATACTGTGTATTTTAGCAATGCCATAGGTGCTCAAGACCCTCTCCACTCCTTGCAGCTGAAGCAGGTGCAGAAGCGGAAGCGGAAGGGACGGAAAGTGGGTGCAAATCTGACCCAAGAGATACCATTATTGTCCACACCTTGTAGCACATGTCAGACGTCAACTGAAGTTGGACTGCTGGTTTTTTGTCACCATTGTCACCTCGAGATCTGTCCGCAGTGTCACGAGACTCATCGCAACTATGTAAGCATTAGTATTATTTGAGTTTTGGTGCATTTTCTCTTTTTCACTTAAGATATATCTTAACTATGATTTGATGGGTAGTACACGTTTGCCTCTTCACGACGTGCGATTGGTTTAGAGAACTGATGGGGAAGCTTTTGTGTGTTTGAATGACTATAGGCTACAGGCAGGGCATTTCAGAGGCAGAATTGGTAAGGGGCTTGTATTTCGTCTTGATTACCTGCGAAACGGGAAATTACCAAATACCACGAGATGTCACCTACCATCGCATCATTACAAATATGGGTAGCAGAGAATAGTTCTTACTTCCCTATTTTGTGCCATGTCTGGATTTCATAACTCAAAGTTGATAAGCAGTTGATAGCAGATCTGCACACAGTTTTTTTCTCTTTTCCTTCATGTAGTACCTCCTAATGCTGCGTCACAAGATGAATGAAATATCCCGCCAATTTGAAACCTTAAAGCTGAAATATCCTGCTTTGAAGGAGCAAAAAAAGGCTAAGGAAAAAATTATTAACGCCTTGGATGAAGTAACGCAGCAGCTGTCCCTGTCTGCCAACAAAGCTCTGAATTTTGCCATGGCTGAACTGGCGACGCTGAATGAGATCGGTGAGAAGAGACTAGGTCCAATTATTCGTCAAATCGGATTTCTCTCTGACGAGATGGAAAAGGTGGATGATGAGTACGAATCGATGGACGAAATTACAGTGAGTAGCGATGCCAGTAGACTTGCTGATTATGTTTTCTGTTACTACTTTCTTATCTCACCTTCCTAATAATTTTTACTTCTTCAAATTGTTTTTATGCGATTTTTGCAGGATTTGCGGGAAGCACTGGCAAAACGAAAGTCTTTACAAAGGCTCCCTGTTAAGATTGCACAATTGGAGGTGATGATAATGGACCTGCCACCTCTACCCATAACGCAGATGCAGGTATCCGATCTATCTGCTAAGGTAAGTCTGTGTGCAAGTCTGGCGCTGGTATTCGGATCATGGTTTAGGCTAAACAATCTCTTGCTCTTGTAGGGGTAGCGTTTGGTGTGTGTAAAATTTGGACACATCAAGTTTTCCACCTTCAGAAGGTACTGGAAGACTGTTGTATTCCTCTAAATGTAGCATGTCCTTCTTGGAAAGAGGTTAGTACTAACATTGCTGCAGCCTCCAAAGATGGTAGCAGTGGGATGCTGTTGCCGGGTGTAGATGATGCTCATGACGAGTGCATTGATTCTGTATAGAGCAGCAAATAATAGTGGCATAACTTCCAGTCCCTGAAGCGGCATAGCACCTTTCGTTTGTGGCCTTAATGATGGAAGATGTGGGAGCTGATGAATCCAGGGCTCGGGTTACACTACCTAGGCACTGGATACTTATTGGTGAAAGCGAATTGCATCCGATGGCTACGTGGTTTGCCATTATTCAGGTTGTCCACTACTTGAATGACTTCAATCTTGTCATATCTGATGGCTCGGTCCCGCTCCCACGACTTTAACCCCAGTGGTAGGTTTGGACTGTATCATTCATAATTATCATCATAGTTTTGTTTGCTTTTTTTACATCTGATGCTGAATACTCCATACCTGACACCAACTAATGTCTTAGTTCTATCAGGGTTGATTTACAGACGTTCACGAGCGATTTTGTCTTCTGGAAGAGGAATAGGGTGGAAATGTTGGGTCGCGCATTTTTTGGCTATTTTTTTTAAAGAATAACTGAAAGTAGACTTGATTCTTAATTTTAAATACCATAAAAGGCATAGCTTTTGCACACATCGTCTTATCTCTGTGATGCAAAGACGTTTGTAGCTCTAAAGTGTGTAAAGTTAATTTGATGCCTTTTTGGGTCATTAAAAATTTTAGTGCACTGTTGCTATTCACAAAGTTTAATTGGTTTTGGGCATAGTCGTCTCAACACTGTCTGACGCAGTGGGACGCTGTTCATTACCTCTGTCGCACGTATTAACTAAACGTAGGACCTTTTGACCATCGCAGCATTCAGGTGCTCTGCGTTGAGAAGGTTTTGTGTTTTATCACTTGCTGAAAGTATTCGGTATATAACTGGTACCTTCGACTTCTGTGGATTCACCGGCAATTGATTATGAAGCATACTTGGTCACCATATGAAATCACTAGTACCCCATGTGAGCATTACAAATAAGTGTCGTTAAAGTCGTTTTACTCCTTTCACATTTGACGATGTATTGGGTGGCATTTTAGGTGTGAAAAGTTCAATGGAGGTTGGCTCGGCTTTCAACGATTCAAGTGACAAAGATGGTTTCTTTGACGACTTACGTAGTTAATTTATTTGATTTACGCTTTACCGACGACGTGTTCCACTGCGAAGTGGGAACTAACGATGAAGAGACCATCCTTTTTTACACCTTTTTGTCATTAGTGATGTACATGCAGGCTTAACTGTGTCCTCTTAATTTTAACTCGGTTACTCGGTTTGTCTTTTTCCGATGCCTTGATTTAATGCTCCTTGGAATCTTGGGATTCTGATAAAAGGACTGGTGATTTTCTGTGCGAATTCACAATGCAAACAGATATTTTGGTCTCCAGGTTTTCACAGATGAGGCGTTATAAGGCACATTGCCCTGCATTTCCACCTTTACTGTTAACAATTTAGCAAGGTGGAGTGTGGATGGTACACTCCATAAGGGTGGATTATTGAAATACATGTCACATATGCAACAATTTGTGTCGCACCGCAGTTCTACAGCTAATCTTTGAGGGTTTACTTATTCTCCGAAAATGCGCGTCGATTGTGCGGACCGAAATGTAAACATAGGCGTGGATGTAGGCTCACTTTTCGTTCAATGGTCAGGAAGGCGGTCCAGACTAGGCCGCTTGGAGTCCCTCTTTTGGAACACACTATCTACAAGTTGCTAAAGAATTTTCTCATTCTACTGTTGCTTGACTGACCGTAGCCGATGTATGAAGAAGTGGTCTAGTTGCCACGATTGAAACCCGGCCTTTAACGAATGGGTAGCTGTGGGAAGGAGAGTAGCGTCATCAACTTCCACATCAGTGGTGGGGCTTTTTTCAACATTGACCTTGGCTTTTGTGTTGACGTCTTAACCGCGTCATCATCGAGGAGTACAACTCGGCACTGAATTGACAAGTTGAAAGACTGGGTGACTAATGATGTTTTAAAAGAACGCTTTTAACTTTAGATGCTAACAATGGTGTCACAAAGGGATCCAAACTGCGAAATTTGGCTAGACGATCCTAACCATTCAAATTATATGAACAAAAAATCAAGGAGCATATGATTCTGCTTGGTCGCATAGACAATGCACCAAGTTAAAATTCGGTCTGTGATAAAAAGTCCGACTATACTTCCTCCTCCTTGCGAAATCACCAGCAAATTGTCAATATTTTTGCTTCCGTAGAAACGCCTGCTACAGGTGAAGTCTTCCCTGCCTCCCCGGGCCGCCTTAAATGCGTGCGTCCGATACCTGCTTAAGGTTGTTATTCTTATCAGATGTGAATTTACTTCGTAAAGAATATTATTTGATATTCTTTAACTGGAGGATTAGGTAGTAAGGAAAATGGCGAAATGTAATGACCACGTCGAAGAGCTGCCGCATTTCGTCAACTATTGGATTAACTGGATAAAGGAGGCGATATAAAACAATTTGGTTGTCCTTACTACGGACTACGACAAACTGCGATTTTCTACCAATCAAGTGAGCGTTTGTCAAGTTCAGCACGGTTTGCCGGTCACTGTATGTATGCTATTCAGGCCCACTAGATACGCCTCTTGTCAGCCTCGAACAGGTGCCGGTGTCTGCACTGCACGGACAGCTCACCTTCAAATACCGAATTCACATTTAAGTGACTTTAGCCATATTTTTCTAAAGGGAGATGAATTCTAGAGTATTTCAGACGGGTGAGTTTAGTTCGATGCTCCTGGTTAGACAAATGAACTCGAACTTAATGAGCAATTTTGGAGCTTAATGTTGATCACAAGAAATTGAGTACATAATGGTCTTAAGGTCTGTTTAGCTAACAATTCGGTATTCATTATGCAATCTGGTAGATATTCGGCATTGATGCTCTGCTTCCTATTAATAATTTCAAACCTAATTATCACAAAGCATAGGCGATCGGTCTCACAAATGGGAGCATAAATTCTGGTGTTCGGAAGCGTTATTTGTGTTATATGTTATGTTATGTTATTTTATGGAATGAAAATGGAAAAAAGGGCTGCAGCGCTAGTTCATTTTTGTATCATTAGGTAGCTTACATTTGGTGACCGTTTAAGGGATGAATTCCTTTCAGTATGCGTTTACTTTATCATTCGCTGCTCTTGGTTAATAGGCGTTTTGTTAGGACATAAATGGCCTCAAGTTGCAACCGTTTCTACTTGCTTTTATTTCAGTAGCAAGCATCCATAAAGCCTGCTTCATAAATAAGCTTGATTCATAATTCATTAATCAATCCTCCAAATAAGGGGTGTGTCGACAGCAATCAGATGCCAAATTCCAGCTTGATCAAACGTAGTGAGCGGGTGTCCCACCGATCGCTAACTAAAACCATTGGGTAACCATGACTCCCGTACTCTTGCTATTCTTCGCCAAGTAAAAATAATCACTACCACCAAGACCTTTCGATACTTGGAGCATAAAAGTGACACAGATAAAATCCATTAGTTTTAGTGAGTGAGAAAACAAACTGAAGTCTTACTGCTAAGGCGTATTACCTACAAAGGAGCTTAGTGAATCCAGTCAACTTTCACTTCTCACTGCATAAGTTGTTGTATTACCCAACCTTCTAACTCTCTGACCATTTGATTGCCTGTTGGCAAACGAAATGGAGAAGTCGGGACAGGAAAACGCAGAGGAAGCGGTGTGATGCCAACCTTCCATTCTATCTGAGGTCCGAACAAGGGACAGATCCACAACGCTTCAATCAACCAATTACATTCCCATATCGATGGGTCACGAAAAGCAGTATGAGCGATTGAAAAACCTATCGATGTCCTTTACATAGCTGACATGCGTCCAGAAGTAGATTATCGACATCACCATTTGACTTGTTAAGTAGAGATGGTTAGACAAGCAATTTATTTCGCCCAAGTGTTATCGAAAGGTAGAAAACGAAAGTGAGACAAGGAGTATAGTAGTCTGTCAAACTAAGAGAATGCCTAATTGGTGAAATCTGATTAAAAGCGCGCGTATACGGGCTAACCTTGAACAAGCCACCGTTACTATTGGATGGGCTTAGACAACGCTTCGTACGGATTGGTTACACCGATTCGAAGGTAGACATGTGGGAATTGTGTGTGAGCCACACGGAACCGCCTGCTTAACGGATGATGTGGCGAAGTCATGGCTTCAGCGGAAGTGGATCTCATTTGTGGGATGTGTAAAAAGTTGTGAGTTATTTATTTCGAAAAACTGCTATTGTACTGTCACCATGACATATGAGAGCTAAAGTATAATTTCTTCAACTCTTTAAACTAAATTTTTGAGGTGTACGTAAAAGAAGTGAGCTTTTAAAAATAAATGCATGGTGTAGGTTTACCAACTGTGATGGCTACATGACTACCCACAAATCAGTAATTTTAGCCCTATTCTACACTCAATCGTTGCTTCATACAAAGGCTCTCCTTACACTTATTCCTGTGGCAGTAAACTGGGTTTTTAAGGGATGGATTGTGTAATTGCACGTTTATTAGTTGAATCCAAGATCACAGCGGTAAACGCTTCCATTTCTTGTAACCTTCATTTGGCTTTTCCATCATGTTGGGAAGGATGCGGGATCCATATTCGCTCCCATGCGGTCACACGTTCTGCTTGCGGCCTTGTCTGCTTCCCCATCCTAAAGCTGTGTCTTCGAGTTGCATCCGGTGTCATAAAACGTTTAACACATCTCAACTGCGTCCCAATTATGATATTGGTGCTCGGATCTTTTTGCTCTTGTCGCAAATGGAACAGGAACGACAAACAAAGGCTAATGACGAGTGCGAGAAAGAGAAATCAAATGATGAAGTGGAGAATGTCAAGGAATCCCACAGCTCTATGGCTTGTGGCATCTGTAGAAGAACAATTGGTACGGAGTTGATTGATATTTGCCACCATTGTCGCAAGAACATGTGTCCGTGGTGTCGTGAGCATCATCATGAGAATGCAAGTTTAAGCACTTTGAATTTGCCTTCTTTGGTAACCTTTACAAAGTTATGACCTTAATCTGCTTGATTGCTGTAAACTTTATCACTTCCGTGGGTACTAGGACTACCTGTTAATATTATATGTCCTAGAATGTTTTTCCTTTTTTCATTTATGAAGTATCGTCTGATAGTTCGTATGAAAATGAATGATTTACATCGCCAAACATCGACCTTGAAGTTGTGGTCGGACCGCTTACGAGAATTAAAAACTTCACTGGCAACTGAGGAAAAGGCAATGAAGGAAAAACTTATGCTTGCTTTGGATAGCGCGATCCACGACCTACAAATGTCTGCAAGAAAATGTCTAGAAGCTGCCGTAACAAAAGTGGATAAGGTGCATGGACCCAGCACCAAGATACTGAATACACTCAAGCAGAATATCTCGGATCTAGTTGATGAAGTTGAAAAGAGTTGTACCATATTCGAGTCGCAGATGGGGATCACAGTGAGTGGTAATGGTGGTATTCTGATTGCTACTGGTGCCAAAATCACTTTGCCATTCTTGACCTTTTCTTCTTACTTGATTTCTTTTCTTTCATTTTGTCGAGTTTACAGGAATTGGTCGAGAAGAAGAAGCAGTTGGAAAGTGTCATTGTTAATGTATCAACAATCGGGAAGAAGTTAGAGGACCTTCCTCTTCTGCTCGTGGCGGAGCTAAATTTATCGGGTCTACTCAGTAAGGTCAGACGCAACACATCTCCATGCATTTTTTGCATCTTCTGATGCACCAATTTAGCATAACGCTAGGTTGTGCATTTGGACAGAATAGTGAGAAGAGTTTAGGTGTGCATCGATGACAGGTACGTTGGCGCCCTTTAAGCGGCGACTCAGAAAGACATAAAAGATGCTGTGCAAGAGTTAAGTCGATCTAAATATTAGGAGGGCAACATTTTAATTGCTAAAAATGTTCTTTAAACCATAATGTATTGCAGTGGTGAGATGGTGCAACTATGGCGTTCATTCGGGACATTCATATACCTTTTGTAGCATAGGAAAAGTGAAATGGACAATAGAAAGGCAGTGTAACAATCAGTAATGTTGTGCGTTGAGTATACTCCAAAATCCTTTCCCAAAGGCGTTAATGCCCACTGACTTCTCAAGACTACTGGGGACACTCCAGGTTCTGCAACCACTACCGGTGTCTTTAACTCATCTTAAATACAGGGCGACTGTGGTACCTTCTCCCACAGGAATAAAAACAGGCTCACCTAAAAGACTGTAGTCAACTTATTAGTGTGTTTATGGTTTTGATAATAGAATGACCTGTCTGCTATTCATTATTCGTTAGGAGTGAAGCTATGCAAATAGTTAGGCGAGGAGCGGCGTTTGAGAATATGAAATTATGTTGGATTAACACTTGATTCTGCCCTTTTTCAGATTAAGGAGCATATGAACAGGTTTAGTCTTATCATAGATGACGAAGTGGCACCGCTGGAGCAACTTACCATTAGCGAACACAGGTATGTGATGCTCTGAATTATTGGAGAAGGTATTACTTCAAATAGCCAGGCGCAGGTTTTTTCGTAGTGAATTAGGAAGAGGGATATAAGGAAAATTAGTACAAACACCAGTAAAAGTAGACAGAAACCTGGGGATGAATTACGTCAATTTCTTTGTAGCAGCAGCAAGACGTCTCAAGTAAAGCTGTTTGTGGGCAGATTGCATCCATGTCACACGGAGAGTCAATTGCATCAACACTTTTCTCGCTACGGTACCGTCGCTGCGTGTCGCATTGTGCGAGACCGCGTTACAAATGAGTCAAAATGCTTCGGTTTTGTTACCTTCCGAAAGGCTACAGATGCTGATCGAGCTCTTTCTACAGGTCTGCATTTTATCGAGGATAGTCACGTAATTGTCGAGCCCTACGAAATAAAGCCGAAGAAAAAAAGTAAGAAAACGGAAGAAAAAGAAGTGGAGACAGGGAAGAGGAGACGGAGAAGAAAAAAAGAACAAAATGCGGCTGCTTTTACCTCTGAAAAGTGGGTTGGACCTTTATTTGGAATCATTATTGCAGAAGCATCGTCTATAGTTATACTTTTGGCATTGAGCTTTTCTAAGGCGGTTGTATGCTCATTTTCTGCATGACCCACACTTTAAGTCCAATTGACGACTATCCGGAGGTGAGTAGATGGCTGCAGACGTTCAGCATTTTGTAATGTTGGTAAAGTTGCTGTATGACTTGGTTGGAGAAGTGACACAGGTTAATAATCACAACTACCGACTCAAAAATAAAGCTGGAAGTATCCTGAAGGAATCGGGCTACGAATGAATAGGAGTTTGCATTCACACCGAGGTTAAGTACCCGCATGGTTGTACAACTCCGTTAGTGAGCAAACGGTGGAGTGCCTGCGGTGCTGAAGAAGGAATACCGAGTCCAGTCTAGCGAATGGCGCACAGTCAGGTCTCAAACCATATGATGCGTAATTTAAGACTGGGGGCTAGGGATTAAATAGAATTCTTTGAATTCACCTGTTGAACTAACGGTGGGAAAATGGACTTCAAAGCTGCTTTAGTCTGAACTCTTCAAATATCCAGCAGGGCTAGAAGGAGGTGCAAGTATGAGCGTGGTTCTACGTCTTAGAACCTAAAGTTACCAAGCATTGTCTTACTTGATAAGATTGCACTACAAAACTTCATAATTGCGCGATCAACAACCCATCAATTTCCTTCTAAGGTATCTAACAAATTTTCTTGTCGATTGACAGAATTCCAACGGCCTCCTGTGGGAAAAAAACCAGTCATCAATTAGTTGTTCAGAACCTACCGCTGCAAGCAAGCAAAAGGAGCATCCATGATCTTCTTGATTGCTTCGGTAGAATCACCAAATTGAAGATAATTCAAAAGGAACGCAAAGCCTTTGTCTCGTTTTCAACTGAAAAGGAGCTTCAAGCAGCACTACGGGCAGCGCCTCACTGCTTTAAAAATAATATCCTTCCTGTTTCCACAAACGGATGATAATGATGTTCATGATGTTAACTATGATAGCGACTGATTTGTTCATACATCTCATTTTAATTAATTGGTCGTCTTAAAGTTACTTCTCCCCTTACTTTGCAAATAGGTGTCAGGTGCAACTAACATACCCAATTCCCAAAGCTCGCGGA